TATGGATTTGTGAACTAATGTGTAATTACTTTTATTAAATAATTGCACAGGATCATTCTAAGAAGAGTGAGAGGGCTAATGAGCCAGCACCATACCTCCTCTATGCATTTTCTTGACCTGTATCTGATCTTGAAAAACTTGACTCTTTTAAAAAAAGTTATTTTTCATCTATCATTTTCAACCATGCAGCAAGAGATCAAATTTAAGAATAAGTAATAGTTTGTCACGATTTTACAGGAAATAGTCAGTGCGTGATGTCACATCTTAAAGACAGCTTGAACTGGATAAATGGTTAGTCTTTTTTCAAACATACCGTACGTTCTGCATGTTAGTATATCTGGCCAATCGATTTAGACCCTACTGCCCTAGACGCATGCCCTCAATAGGGAAGTCACGCTTTGGGAAGAGGTGTTTCATTTCACAGATCCACCTTGATTGTTGTTGTGAGGGGTGAAGGAAGAGGGACGGGGGGGAGGAAAATTCAGAGGATGAAGAAGCAGAAAACATAACTTGTTTTGTAAAACGGACAGCACGTCAGTTTCAAGAAAGACGACACCGTGTTTATGCATGACATGCAAAATATCTTGAAGCCCTGTAAAAAAAAAAAGGTACAAGTATATTGTGTTGAAAATATCGCAAAAAGTCGTAATTTGTATAATGTATTAGTTGCATGTTGTATTTTGCTAGAAATCACTATGTAGTTTTTCAAAAAATATAATGAAAAAGAGAGAGAAAGACAAAAACAAATATCACAGTATGTTGAAAAAATATGAAAAAGTAATGTGTTTCAAATAACATGAAAGAAATCAAAGTAACGCTTCTAAAAAACATATATTTTAGAAAAGTAATGTAGTCATGTCAAGTTATCAAGACTGTGTGTTTCATCGAAACAGTGTTAAAATCACAAACATAAAGAAAACGAATTCCTTACAAATTAATGAATAATTAAAAAGGTTTGCATCCATTAAAGTGTAACTAAAAGTATCTTAGTAACACAAGAAAAGAGAATAAAGCATTGCTGTCAACAAAACTGGATTGCTCCATTGAAATAGCGTTAAAATCAAAAAGTGCCTTTAAAGAAAATGTATTCAGATAAAGTATTTTATTTTCAGAAATGTTTAAGGTTTTGCATACATAAAAAGTGTATCTTACAGTTCCTTTTGTGAGAGAATTACACACAAATCTGCAGAGTGTCACTAAAAAGTTTTACACAGGGACTGACATTCTGTATGGGGGTTTCACAGGACACAAAGTCTACTTCATTATCTACTTTTTCAGCTTTTATACACAAAAGTGTATCTTTCAGTAACTTTCTCAGAGAATTTAAGCATAAATCTGTCAAATGTTCAAAACAGCCTTGTTTCACTGAAATAGCCTCAAAATCACAAACTGCCATTAAGAGTCAGATTCTTAACCAAATCTACTAATACAAAGTACTTAATTATCTATTTTCAGCTTTTATACACAAAAGTGTATCCTTCAGTAACTTTCTCAGAGAATTTAAGCATAAATCTGCCAAATGTTTCAAAAAACAGCCTTGTTTTCACTGAAATAGCCTCAAAATCACAAAATGCCATTTAGAGTCAGATGCTTTACGGAATCTATAAAACAGAGTACTTTCATGGTAGTGGTCAGCTTTTAAAAAAGAGTGTATCCTTCAGTAAAGTATAATGGAAAAAGGAGAGAAAGAAAAAAACAAAATATCACAGTATGTTGAAAAAATATGAAAAAGTAATGTGTTCAAAATAACATGAAGAAATCAAAGTAACGCTTCTAAAAAACATATATTTTAGAAAAGTAATGTTAGTCATGTCAAGTTATCAAGACTGCTGTGTTTCATCGAAACAGTGTTAAAATTACAAACATAAAGAAAACAAATTCCTTACAAATTAATTAATATTTTACCCGGTTAAAAAGGTTTGCATCCATTAAAGTGTAACTAAAAGTATCTTAGTAACACAAGAAAAGAGAATAAAGCATTGATGTCAACAAAACTGGACATCGCGCACTGACTATTTCCCGTAAAATCGTGACAAACTATTACTTATTCTTAAATTTGATCTCTTGCTGCATGGTTGAAAATGATAGATGAAAAATAACTTTTTTTAAAAGAGTCAAGTTTTTCAAGATCAGATACAGGTCAAGAAAATGCATAGAGGAGGTATGGTGCTGGCTCATTAGCCCTCTCACTCTTCTTAGAATGATCCTGGCAATTATACTTAATAAAAGTAATTACACATTAGTTCACAAATCCATATACAAAAGAGAATACCCTTAGGTATCACTATTAAAACCTAAATAAGATCTTTTGAAAAATAACCTCTTTGCAAAACAGATACTTCTTTAACAGTTTCCCAAAACTTGAAAAGAAACATCCTTAGCCAGCACACACCATTTAAAACAAACCCTGAATCAAATCTAGAGAGGACATTAACGTTGTTAGATGTCTTGGTGAGTGAAAATTAATGGCTGTTTTTTATTTAATTTGAGTTTATTTCTTTTTTTAAAACTAACTCACAGAGAGTGTCTTAATTAACATAGGCATTTACACCCTGGCTATCTCAACCCCCCCCCCCCCCACATCTGGTTGTGTGTGTGTCTTCTTACACATTACATTACATGTCATTTAACTGACGCTTTCATCCAAAGCGACTTACAAACACTTAAATACCGTAGACATGCCTACGGGGGCGATTTGTGGTAAAGTGTCTTGCTCAAGGACACATCGGCATGTGAGCCAAAGTCACATCCGCATAGGACTTTTTGCTTTCTTAATTATCCTGAAGAGAATAGGTGAAGAAACAGAATCAAACAAACCCTATTCTCCAGCCCCCCCAAAAAACGTCTCTTTGTCATTTCTCTCGACTTGAAAAATATTGAAGAGTGGCAAAGACGACTGGCTTTTATTTATCCAACTCCCATAACGGGAGAGGGGTGAGGGGCGGGGGAAGTGTGGTGTGGGTGTGTGTTGTGTGTGTGTGTGTGTGGTGTGTGTGAGTGTGTGTGTGTGTGGTGTTCCCCCGCCCCTCGGCCGCCATATGGCTGTAGAGCAGGGGTGCCCAACCAGTCGATCGCGATCAACCGGTCGATCGCGATCGACCGGTCGATCGCGTGGAGATTCCCAGTCGATCGCGAGATGTGTCTAAAAATAGAACAACAACATTCTGTTTTATCGTTAATGTCCTATAACATAATCTTCCCGTGCCAGAATAATGCACTTGAACGCATCAAAGCTTTGTGATTGGCCGGCGTGACTCCATGTGTCGGGGCGTGGCTGGTGAGCTGGTGGCCGCTGACGTTGTCCGTGTCAACAGGAGTGACAGTCCGCACACACACAAGACCGCAATTATGGCAGAAGCAAAAAAGCCCAACATATATAATTTTCACTCCGAGTGGGAGGATGATTATTTGTGTATCTATTCCAATTCAAAGTCCATCTGTCTCATCTGCAATGCGAACGTGGCTTTATCGAAGAAGGGTAATTTAGGAGCGGCATTTCAAAACAGTGCACAAACGCTACGAGACGGAATTCCCTCCTAATTCTGCCCAACGCTCCCAAAAGGGGAGGGGCCTGAAAGGACAGCTAAATGCACAGCAGTCAATTTCCACCAGGCCCAACAACAAGAGCAAGGCTGCTACCATAGCATCTTATCGTGTCAGGCACGTTCTTGCGAAACACATGAAGTCTTTCAAAGACGGCGAAGTTGTGAAAGAAGCATTCCTGGAGGCTGCTGATGCGCTTTTGGGGGACAGTAAAAATAACAGTAGCATTTCAACAGGTTTTTGATATAATAAAAACTCAAGTTAGATACCGTTATTAATCAGCTGTAAGTTTTTGTTTGTTTGAACTTATTCATTACAATTATTGTACACAATGGTATAAGAATGCAAACATTAAGATCTGTTCTGTTTAAATTGATTATAGTCTATTATCAATTCAGGTAGAAACTAGTGTTGCTTGCATCCTATTTTAAAAGGCATTTATTTTTATACTCTACTAAAATGCAACAAAAAAAGGATTTGATTCTATTAATTTTGTCTTTTTTATTGCACTTTGGCAGCAGATTCCTGTGTAGCTTCAGATCTGAGTTGTCTTATTAGTAAGCCTCATTTATACTTTTGAAGCAACACTATTTTTATATAATGGCAAAGAAAGGGTTCAGAGTATTTTCTTTTTTCCCTGTGTCATATGTGGCAGCACTGTTCAATGTTTCTTGAAAACATTACCCACTGTAGTATGTGACGTGTGAATAAACTCCAACTCCGTATCAACAACACTGTTGTGTAACTTCAGTTGAATACTTGTATGTGTGTAGATTAGAAAGAGGTAAGATAAAGGATCTGCAGTATTTTATGAAGTTCATCGTACAAAGGTCAGTTTTATACAAGTAGAAGTGTGTATTTACCTGGTAGTAAGGCTGTCAGTAACTACGCTCTTTATTTGGACTGGTAGATCTCGGCAGACCGGCAACTTTAAAAGTAGCTCTCGGTTAAAAAAAGGTTGGGCACCCTGCTGTAGAGGATGTCAGGCTTTTATGGTTTCTCCCCCACATGTCCTGACTTGTCTCAGGCAAGTCCAGACTGTTCACAAATAAGAGGTGAGAGAGAGAGATTGACAGAGGCTGACATTACTTTTTTTAAATATATGTTTTTAGATGCTTTACTTTGATTTATTTCATGTTATTTGCAAGTATTTGTAAGTTACAGTCAATACTGTATACAGGATTAGGGGGCACAGGAAGTGGTTAGGAGGCGGGACATAGATCCTATGCATACTAATGTGATTGAAGCAGCATTTAATTTCTCATTTTTAAATTTTTTATTTTGTAAACCGGAGGCGGGGCGTATGTCGGAAGGGGCGGGGCTTGGGCGGGGCTTAGTCGGAAGTAGGCGGGGCTTATATGTGTGACCTGTCACTTTTCTATGCATACTAATGAGACGAAAGTGGCATGGTTACAACTACTGACAGCTTTGAGTGAAATCCTCACTACACTACAGGCAGCCTTATTGCGCTGTTGACCTGGGCGTAGCTCAGCTGGATGTTCTTGAGAGTCCCTGGCATTTTTTAAAAGGGTGAAGGCACAAGGTTGGTAAGTAAAATGCGAGGTTTCGTTGTTGGCCTTTTATGCGTCAATGTTGGCCCTGTGCCAGGCTTTTTATCACAAATGATGTGGCCATAAACTGTGTCTGTTTGTGTGTGTGTACATGCACACTGTTGCACGTGAACTCTTTGTACCCATGCGGCTTTGTGGTGATACGGATAAGGTCAGCCGCTCTCTCTCTCAATGCTTTGGTCTCATTTAGTTATCTTTACAGTTAATACTACTCGTCTTGATCTTTGTCATTTACCAAATACACTCATTTTACAATGATAAAAAAAGAAAGAACACAAGATATAAAAGGTCACATGTCATGGCCATTTCCACTGATCATAATTCCATTGTTGATGTCTACTAGAATAGATTTATACTGTGCAATTTTCCAAACTCACATTGTTTCGCATACAGCATCTCTGTAAACTACGTGAATTCACTCTCTCCACTAAACGGCTCGTTGCAGTCTTGCCCCCCCTCCCTGTGAGCCCAGTGTGCTCCGATTGGTCAGCTCGGCCCCTCTGTTCTGATTTGTCAACCACCAGAGAGGCTCTGCCCCTGTTGACATCTGCCGTAAAGTGGTTTAGCGGGGGTACTTAGCCCATGGTGTTTTTCGGCTCTGAGCGGAGTAGCAGAAATGAAATGGCGTCAGTAAAGCCATATATGTACGAACTGGAGTCCGACCCTGAGAGTGAAACGGACCGTGATGGACCTGATCCACCGTCCCAAACAAGAATACAGCAGGCGGTTTCACAGTGGAACGTTTTAATTTTGTATAGCTGCTACATTTCAGATGTAATGTTAGAACTTCATCATTTATCTACATCACAGTAACAAGTGTGTCCGCTGACTAACCAAACTTTCCAACTGTTGTTATTTAGGTGCACGTGTGGAAACTGCGCAGTAATGCCTACCGAGGTGGAAAACCTCTGTTGCAGGGAGATTAGAAAGGTGACAGTGTAGTGCCGATGAAAAGGAGTCGGGGCGGTGTGTTTAGAATCAGGTAAAATACATGTCTGCTCTGTCTGACAAGCTAGGAATGACAAGCTAAACCTAAGAGCACACACTAAAGGGTCCGTGTGGCAACACTATACCAAAGGTGAATTATGGTCAAAACAGGGTGTCACCACAACAAATACAAAAACACCAACAGTAGCACACAACATTATATACACCATACATACTTGTCAAGTCAATAGACTATATGCCCTTTTATTTATTCTATAGTAATTGAATGTTTATTTTGTAAACCTCGCCATAGTTGGATTTAATTGCTAAACGTATTATGTTACAAATATCTTATCCTCCTATAGGTTTTAACACGAATGCAAAGTCCCAGAACCCATTGTGTGCATGGTTGACCACCCCGGACTAGAACCAAACTGCCTCAATCCCTACACCCTGCAGAACCTCCACAATATTTATCGGTTTGATTATGGACCTTTGAGGCGTAGAACTGAAGAAGAGTAAGTTATTTTTAGCTATAATAAACTACTACTGTATTAGATGAAAAATCAAATAATGGTTTGCTATATATGAATGATCTAGGAGCAAATAATTCAGGGAAGAAAGGCTATCAAGTAGTTCCATCAAACTTTATTTTGATAAATTTTGATAAATGGACATCACAGTCTGTCTTACAAAACGGACATTTTTCAAACAGCTGTCCGAGGCAGCTTTCAAACACAATGTACTTTGCCTCACTGTGCGTGGATCGTGTCTGAAGTCTAATGTAACAAAACAAAATTAACAATACATGTTAGATGTCAATTCTGAACAACAGTAATAGTAATGTGTACCAAATATACCAAACTTACGATACGTCAGATTCTTCTACAGTATCATCAGGGTGGTAACTCGAATCCAGAGTCTCTTCAAATTCAATCGAAGTCTCTCCTTGTTCCTGCTCCAACTCTAGTCGAGGTCTCTTGCTAGGTCCCAATCCTGGGCCCTTTATTGGTGTAGAGGACAAGGGGATTTCTGTGTAGGTGGAAGTTTTAGTGCCAACACTTTTGAAAGACACCGTGGCCTGGATGCCTGTTAATAAAAAGGGAAAAGTGCATAAATACTATGTACATTAGATAAGACACTAATACATTGTAAAAGGCCAACAACTTGTGTACATCTGACAGATTAATTCATGAAAAATGTACAAACTACAAACAGCACTGTATTTCTTGTAGTCATAACAGTATTTCTGTGATATACAATAATATCAAATAAGGTTTTATTTATAGAGCATATTTAAAAAAGATTTTTGGTCGAGCCCAAGTGCTGTACATGTAATAAAAGCACAATTAAGGTAATGTATCTGTGATTTGTCAGTGTTATAGTCTACCTTTGCTTCTCACGTGGGCCGATTTCAGTGTTCCCCGGGCCAACTGTGTAGCAACAGAAATGGCGGACACTTTACATTCCACTGTCTGTGTTCCCACAGACCGTGTCTCAACCCTCTGAGTTCCCACACAAACAGTCTGTGGACGGTCTGTTGACATCCGACTGTACTGGAGCAGTTGGTATTGTGTTCCTGCTGTGATGTACTCTAAGAAAGATACAACATAGTATTCATACAATTAATTTTGTATCCGAGGAAAACAGTCAATTTCATAAAAGCAACACTTTTACAATTACAATGTTCTACAGATATTCTGCTACGTTCGGTCATTCATTGTAGCTGGCATGAAAACAATGTTTTTCATAACATCTCTAGGTTAGAGCTTCTAGCTTAGCTTATTAATGGTAGCTCGGTAGAATACACGAACGGCAACTGTAATTACTGACCGTACGGTTAAATCACCCGGAGTATACTGTCTATGAGTATTTCGTGTGTGTTTTGCAGACATTCTCCTGCTATGAGATACATGTAAGGCCATTGTGCTAACATCGGTGTTGAGGCTGGGAATGCTAGGTAGCCCTCGTGTTTACCTCGGTAGCATAGCAATTAGCATAGCATAGCATTTACACAGTCGTGGTAGATACATTGTTTGTTTTAAACAGAATAAATACACAAACCACAATAAATACTTACAGGTTGTGTACCCGAATCTCCCGCTGGTCCAAACAAAGTAGGAACAGCATCGTCCTCCCAATATCAGCTTTTGCAAGTCCGAAGCTAAACATTGTTAAGTTTTTAAAGCTTTGGTCCGTGAAATGCCGCGCACACACAACAGTACCGGCTGGTAAATCAGCTGGAACAGTGTTAAAAGGAATGTCAACCACTGACTTCGTCGTGGTTCTGCCTTCGGTACTGCAAACATTGTGGATTTCTCCACACAATACCGGCAACAGACCCTCCGCGACATGACTGGATAGAGCTTTGAAAAGAAGCAGGTTTTACGACACTTAAAGGATAGTGGAAATGGAACCTCAAATAGTTTCGTTGTAACTTATATACAAGCATAATTACGTACCAAAACAATCACACCTGATTAAAAAAATATAATAATTGCCTTATGCATGTTAGAAGCACTTTATTGCAGCTTCCCCGAAGTTTTTAAGAAACGAAATGTTCGACTCAGCCAAACCGGAAGTGACGAAAACTCAGGAAGACGATACGATAACAAAACTATGGCGTCTATGCAGAATGAACGTGGAAGGGCAAATATACCAGACAAAGAAGAAGGATTGTACGAGGTATCCAGTGATGATAGCGAGTCAGAAACATCCTCTAGGCTTTTTCCTACGAAAATGTCGTTTTTAGGAGCTGAATCTGAATCCGGTTCAGTAAGCGACGATGGTGAGAATATTGAGCCAGACGATGGACCATTACGTCCTTATTTGTTTCGAGCCCAGAGCCCGAGCCCGAGGTGATGGTTACGGCATGGGCAATGGCGGAGGATGACCACGGAGCCAGATGATGCACCCCTACGCACAAATAATCTGACTGGTAGGTCCCTAAGCATAGCTCACGCATCTTAAGATCACCTGTTAGCCTTTTACAAATATTATCATTGTTAACCAGTTAAGCACCGAAGGTCCCCCCAGTGGACCCCCTCCCACAGTTTTTTTCTCTCACATGTCTCAGGGCTTCTTAACATGTATGAAACTATTAATGTTTTCATACCCTTTTAAAAGGTAAGAACATCGCTAACTGACAATAACAACAAATGTAGCTAGAAAAAAACACAAGAGTAATACCAAACCTTTGAATTAGCATTGAGCGAAACAATGCTAACTAATGCTAAACGCTTTTTTACAACAACACACGGTGGAAATGCCCTTATTACTATCTTAACTGCACAAACAAGATATACGATTTAAAGCTGAGACTCCACAGATGTAATGTCATCACTGTAAGACCTCGAATTCCTGGAGCTATCAGCCAGAAAAGAGAAAGTAAACAACATCCGGTTCCAAAAATATTACAATAATTACGTCTTACCTTTTTTGATTTGTGATCAAAAGTTGTGTTCAACGGAATAAAAACGCATTCTCAAGGTTAATCCAATGTCGTTGTGTCACGTAGAATTTTTTACTGATAATCAATCATCATATTTATGGCAATATACTCGGTATAAAGTATTGCCGTCTTATAGTATTACCTATAGTGAACATTTCTGAACAAATTTCACCCACTGACGACGAATGGCTGGGTTTCTTGGAAACGCATGAGTCGATACGCCATTCTCTGCATTTTCTGTCGCACTACAGCCATACAAAACACATCTATTCACCATAATAAAGGTCGGCTATTCACATGCAAATGCTATTGAATGTCCGCCATTGTTTGTGCCCGTCTTCCTCTGCTCTCGTCATCACCCGAAGATTCCCGACGATTCCCGAAGTATTTCGTTTCATTGAGAGGGCGCAGTCAAATTGAAAATAAAATGAAACTAGGCGCATGAAATTAAAAAAAATTGTTTATTATGCTTATTTTGAATACAAATACATAAGTTAAACCCAAAATTCGCGGATTTCCACTATCCCTTTAATATGGTCGGCTGGCAGAGGAAGTGACGTCACGCGGTGCAGCTACGTCACGGGGGGCAGGAAGTAAACAATGGAAACTGAGAAATCTCCAACGAGGCTTTTGGGGGAGGTATTTTCTGTGTTAGAGTTTACTCGCTACAGGGTGTACTTTGAGGGGTTTTGACTTTGCAGACTGTTTACATGCATAAAAACCTTCATAACACACAAGGGGACGGGCAATAACCGGAAAAGCATGATATGTGACCTTTAAGCAAACATGAACAAAGTGAACTTTGACTGCACTGCCGGTAATCTTTGACATTTCAGATGGAGCTAAATGGCCTTCCTCACAACAGGCAGCCTTATCTCGCTGTCGCCCTGGACGAAGCACAGCTGGATGTCCTTGGGCAGCGAGTAAAAAACAAGTCCCTGTCAGTTTTGGAGAGGGTAAAAGCACAATGTTGGTACGTGGGATTATTTGTTTGGCCTCAGTTTGAGCCAGACTCTTTATCTCAAACTCTAAAGCCATAAACTGTGTGTGTGTTCCTCAGGTGTTCCGGTCCCAGGGTGAAGAGCGTCCTGCTGGGCTTCTTTCCTATCCTGTCATGGCTGCCTGATTACTCCATCAGAGAAAACGCCATTGGAGACCTGGTGTCTGGAGTCAGTGTGGGGATCATACATCTGCCAACAGGTGGGGATGCTGCAGCAGAGGATAATCACGTAAAGAGTCTTAACATGTTTTAAATGACAACAAGCTGCATAACACAACAGCTTCACACTACTTCAGCTATACCTGCAGGATGGAAGGGTGGAAATTGAGAGTATACGACTCTAGCTGCCATGTGTTATAACCCTGAGCTTGTTGTAACCTACTTTATTTTGTTGATATGAAGAGAAAGTCTCATCAACACATGTATAGCCACCACTCAGACAAGCAAATGGCTTTTAAGCTCCCTTGATATAAAAAATGATATGAAATTTATTTTTCGTATTGAGCTGGTCATCACCCATAGTATTTCATCTAAATCTAGCCCAACAAGATAAGATAAGATATCATTTATTAATCCCAAATTGTGAAATGTTTTTGTTGAAGAAAACAATCTGTTAACTATGACAGATACAACAATATTAGGGCTAAATTACAGCTAACACAATATAAAAGTAGGATATTATTTACATTTAGTGTGCAAGAATGGCATAATAAATGAATTATAAATGTCCAGTGTGAAGTTATAAGTCAAGTTAACAAAAGAGAAACTGGAGCTATGAGTTCTCGAAGTGATTTTGTATTGCAGTGGGCAGGAATGTTGACCAAGTTGTTAAGTGGTAAAAATGTTAATACAGATTCAGCGCTGTAAGCTCCTGCAAAGGCCAATGAATGAATATCTGTGAAGCTTACTGTTTTTATAGGACACATCTCCACCTCTCCTCTTCTCTCCCAGGTATGGCCAACGCCATGGTGGTGGGAGTTCCTCCTGCGTTTGGTCTCTACACCTCTCTCTATCCTCTGATCATCTACTTCATCTTCGGCACCTCGAGACACCTCTCCATCGGTTAATGTCTACCTTAATCTTTATGAAAAGGCGTTCTTATCTACTGCCTGGTTCAGTCTTCCATGAGTGCTTTGTTCATGAGCCCTACCTGAAACGTATGGAACATTAATACAAAATATGTCTATAAACTAAAGAAAAAAACTGATATAAAGTAAAAAAGGCAAGTAGTATAAATATAAAGTTATATTCATAGTATATATCCATGTGATAAACAACAATTTTGAACCTTAAACTCTACTGAAAAGCGAGTAAAGGAGTTGTTTACAAAGTGTGTGTGTGTTTATGTGTTGCAGGTACTTTTGCCGTCCTGGCCATCATGATCGGGTCTGTGACAGCCAACGTGGAGTCGGTTAGCAACATCAACGGAGACAGTCAGGCTGATGTTGAAGCGGCCAAAGTGAATGTGGCTTTACAAGTCACCTTCCTCTCTGGCCTCATACAGGTAAACACACACACACACACACACACACACACACACACACACACACACACACACACACACACACACACACACACACACACACACACACACACACACCAGTGGTTCTCAAACTTTTTTCAATCATGTATCCCCTTTGAAAAAAAAATTCAGCCAAGTACCCCCTGATCAGCGCAAAAACAATTTGTTAAGGAAAAAATGCCTATATAAAGAGGTACAGTACAGCGCTGCACCATCAGTGTCTGAGAAACACTTAAATGCTACATTTCAAATGTTTACAATCCATCACTAAATTCATGGCAAACCAATTTTAACATCATGCAATAACACTAAGACAACATTAGTTACATTGAACTGATCTTTTTAATAAGTTGTACTTACAATGTAGTGAAACATGGGCTTGAGCTTCACTGAGGATCTTTGTCATTCTGGGAGGCAAACTGCAGTTATTACACTTCGCGTTTTGAAATATGTGTAACTGTTAATATAAAAACCACACTGCTCAAACTTCGTTACTTTTCCTGAAATTGGTATATTTGTATATGTATTTATTTTGGGGCGTGGGGAATGAAGAGAAACAAATATATGAGCATTTTATGAGCATGGGATTTTGACCCCTATAAACATATGCATAATGCTGTGCTATACTTTGCGGCCACACGCCGTTGTCAAGCAACGCTTATGTCCTTTTGAAAAGCAGGCAGTCATATCATTAACTAGAACTAGCTAGATCTGATAGATTTGGACATAGACGCGAGTGAAGTATAACCGGACGCTAGAGAGAGATCAGGGGCCTCATTTATAAAGCGATATACGCTCAAAAAATGGCGTACGCCAGTTTCTACGCAAAGTTTGCGATTTATAAAATACTAACTTGACGGGAAAACGTGCGGTCCTCCACGCAAACTCTAACCCATGCGTACGCACTAAGCACAAAAACGGGAGAGACGAGAAACTGCGACACCGTTGGCAGAAGGAAGAATGGAGAGAAATATGTGGAAATAATACCATAAATAAAATGTTACCTCTCATTTATCATATATGAAGAATTCATTTTCAAACATTGATTAAAGCCAATCTTAAAATGATTAAACAAACGCCTGTTTGCGACTCCTCAGTGCACACAAAAACATAACTTGGAGAAATAAATAAATACGGATATGTTATTTAAAACCACCTGGAATATGTTGTGTTAATGTTATGAAATGTTTTCTCATAAATGATGCGGTAAGCAGGAGGACAGAATTACTTCTAAACTGACGCCGTGTTGCATTTCTATAGGTTGTAGATACGAGCATGGTTTTATATAGGCTACTATCACGTTTAATCGTGTTTTATGCCGTTTGCTAAGACTTGATAAGTCGCTCGTAAAACACAGGAGGTATGGAAGCTAAGAACACCTATGTGGTCAATTGTAGAGCTAATATAACACAACACATTAGTTGTATGCGGGGGGTTGAGACGCACAGGCTGCAGTGGAGAGGCTGCGCACAGCTGATCGACAGCTGGGACACAAACCACCAAAAAATACAAACAAATAATTCAGATCCAGTCGTCATGACTCCACACCGGGGGGATTCCCCGTTCACTTCTTACAGTTTCTCATCAAGGGGGTGTCTCCTGTCCCCGGTACAAACACACTGCCTGAGGAAGGATGTGTATTGTTTTTGTCATGAACCTTTTTCGGGCCATTTATTTATTTATTTTGGTGACGGTCCGACCTCCATGCTGCTACTCTGGTTCAAACTGCATCCACCAAACAATATGATTTATCTCGACCTCCCCAAAATAACCAGAATCTGACACGGTGTGAGATGTCTTTTTTAGCTGTTCTGTCGTCATTTCCTGCGATCTTCTTCATAAAGTCAGTCAGAATTAATGAATGAATGGGCGTTTCTTTGACTATTTATAGGCAAATATGGGCGTTATGTGAAGCCCGCAAAAGCTGCACTGCATTTCGAGTCGGTTGTGATTTATAAAGGGAAACCGGCGTAAGTGCTGTACGCACTTTCCTCGCCGGTGCGCAATGTTTAGTGAATCGGGAAGTGGCGGAAAATGTATGGACCTATTTTTCGGATTTCTACTACGTAAGCAACCTTCCCACGTGAATCCTACGCAGGGCGTTATACATGAGGCCCCAGGGGCCTCGTTTTTAAAGGGATATACGCTCAAAACAATTCGAATTTTTAGCCTTATAGAAGTGGCAAAGGGGCAACAGGTCATGGTGGTGGGCTGTTACAGACCCCCCTCAGCTGGCAAGGACTCCTTCTCTTCGCTAGCAAATCTTTTATCGCAACTAGACTACAAGGAAATAGTGCTACTTGGAGATTTTAACTGGGACTGGTTAACTGCAGTGTCAGAGGATTTTAAAAACCTTTGTATCTCTTTGAATGTTACTCAGATTGTTGACAGTCCTACTCGCCCTAACATTAAGTCCCCTAATAAATCCTCCCTAATTGATCTCATTTTAACTAATGCTCCCTATAAATACTTATCTGTGGGAGTGTTTGCGAATGATTTGAGTGATCACTGTGTTGTAGCCACAATTAGGGACACTAAGGTTCAAAAGGTTAAACCTCGTATTATTATTAAGAGAGACATAAAACATTTTGTGGAGCAGGGTTTTGTTCATGATCTGTTTGGGTTGGATTGGGGAAAAATAGATCTGTGTGCTGATGTAGAAACTGCATGGTCTTATTTTTATCTTGGTTTTATGGAGATCATTGATAGACATGCACCCCTGCGTAAATTTAGAGTGAAGGGACGAGACAATCCTTGGTTTTCTGCTGAACTGTCCAGTCTCCTTCATGAGAGAAACAAGGCCTGGGCAAAGCCTAGGTAATCAGGCTCAGAGGTAGAATGGCTGCGTTTTAGGCAGCTAAGGAATAGCTTCACTTCAAATGTCAAAAGTGCAAAGTCGAAGTACTATTTGTCAGTTACCAAAGAAAACCTAAATAATCCTAGGAAATTTTGGAAAGCCATAAAATCGATATCCACTGGTGAGATCCGTAATGAGCTACCTCCGTGCCTTACCACAGCATCTGGCTCTATATCGGACAGGGCTACTATGCTAAATTGCTTTAATGAGCATTTTGTGTCCTGCGGTTCTATCTTTGATTCTGTTTCTAACTCTGCTTCTGTGAACACCCCAATCCGTGACTCTGAACAATGTGGTCTGGAAAACCCTTTCAGTTTTACTCCTTTTACTGTCAATGTTGTTCATGAAGCCTTATCTAAGCTAGATCCTAAGAAACCGGCTGGCCCGGACAACGTAGAACCTTTCTTTTTAAAGATAGCTGCAGATTTTATTGCTCTTCCTCTCACTACTCTTTTTAACCTCTCCCTCAGCACAAATGCAATTCCAAAAGTATGGAAGTCAGCTTATGTCTTGCCTTTGCTAAAAGGAGGGGAGGCAACTATTTTAAATAACTATAGGCCAATCTCTAAATTGTCAGTTCTGGCGAAGGTGCTCGAACGCCTAGTGAGTGAACAGGTAAAGGAGTTTTTATGTAAAAATGATATCCTGTCTAAACATCAGTCAGGCTTCAGAAAGCAACACAGCACCATCACTGCCACAATGAAAGTGGTGAATGACATTACGAGTATTTTAGATAATAAGCAGAGTTGTGCAGCTCTATTTATTTACCTTTCCAAAGCGTTTGATACCGTCGATCATCGCATCTTAAAGCAGAGGCTACTCAGTATTGGCATATCCAGCCATGCAGTGGGTTGGTTTGTGAACTACCTCTCTGAAAGGGAAGCGGGGGGGCCAGGGGGCCATTGGCCCCCCCACTTTTCAGCCCTGCCCCACATTTTCGCAGCAGCAGATGCCGCGGAAAACTGTACAAATCCCGTTTCAATAATTCCCCTCTACTCTAAAGTCGCATCTAAAACGCCATCTGATCTAGCTGTGTATATTTTGTTATTTTTGATTGTTATATTCAATCTCACTAGCTACAGGCATGTTTGAAGCTTGTAAAGGGTAGATGACAGCTCTCACCACTCTGCTGTTCCTCAGCGCCGCTCCCCCTCCCTCTCGCTGAAATTATGAATGTAAGGCGTATAGTAATCATAGATAACACGGCAGGGTCCGTTACAGTTTGTTTTTATCTGATTTCAAATAAGCAAAGTCTTGGCTTTCAGAATATTCAACTTGTTTCGGCAAATTCAGATGATAAATACAACTTTGAAGCTTTTAACGGCATAATTACAAGCGGAGAACGGAGTAATTTAACGTCACTGCAGGCATAACAACAGCCGGTGTTTCTCGTGAGTGTTTTCCCCGGGAAACAAACACAATACACACAAACGCAAAAATACACAAACACACACGTATATACACGCGGCGCGGAACACTGTACAAATCCCGTTTCAATAATTCCCCTCTACTCTAAAGTCGCATCTAAAACGCGATCTGATCTAGCTGTGTATATTTATACCCTGACATCCACATCTCCGGAGCCTGGACCTTCTTCAAACAGCGAAGCCAGATGAACCCAAAAGCAGCAGCTCTGCGGCCGCAGAAACTGTCAAAACCGCCGCCGCCCCCACCGCCGCCGTTGTTGAACCGAAACAGGCTGGTTCTGACTGCATGGAGGTTTGTTGTCGGGACATTGAGGCGGGTAAAGTTGTACAGCTAACTATCGGAAAAAAGGAGACCGCTAGTAGATTATTTGGGCAAAGAGAAAGGTAGCCTACTTCAACGCAGAATGGTACAAAAACAGAGAGTGGTTAATTCTTTGAAAAACCACTAAACGATAGTGATAAATTGCAATGTTAACAACCTCATGATAACCTCATTTTTTTTGTACTTAGGATCATACCTGTGTTTAGTCTAGAAAAAGGTAATTGTGTGCATTTTATTATAAAGTTGTGTATATTTACAGACTGTTGCAAAAACTAAGAAGCTTATAAACATCAGGTTTAAAACTAAAAGAGCTTTACAAAAAAGTAACACAATTAAAGATGTTTGGAGTTTTATTTGAGTTATTCATTTACATTTTTTGTCAAAGAGATGCTGATTTGAAACCGTTGTTAGGCCTACATACAGTTACGGCATTTCCTGTTTCTGCCGGAGAGAGGGGAGGCAGTCCCAAAGTTTGCCGCTGTATTTACTCCCTCCATCTGACAGGAGGGAGCCTCATGTGTCACTCCACGGAGTTCACTCCGTCACGGAGGGGGAGTGTGTAGGGCGTGGTTTGGGATTGGGATGAGATTTGAGAACCACTGCATTAGACAATACATGGACAAACAGAAGGAACAGGCTCATAGTCATTGCTGTGCAGCTCAGGTTCAAGACAAGCAGGAGAAGACAGAAGTCCCCTGCAGACATTCACAAGAGTATCACGTATTTGTATCCTTATGTATATTATAGTACACACACACAACCTGCTTTGAAACTGTACAAATTAAAAGTATTGCCTCTCTCCCTCCTCTTGAATGTGTGGGAGACATGCATTGTGACGTAAAAGTTGTCATAATCAAAGAAACGGCACATATATTAGGAACAGATTGTCGTGTCAAATGATCATATAATCATTTGAAACATATAGTATACTCTGATTGCCTTTTACACTGTTAAATTGTATTTTTAGTCTTGTATGTGTTTAACAGAGACACATGTTTAGGATTCACATTTCAGGAGGGCAAAAGGAAGTGAAAAAGGTGGATTTGTAAATGGTTAAGGACAAGGGCGTTTTATGGTTTAATGACGGGATGTAGGACCAGTTGTTTCATTTCATGAATATATAGTGGGACTGTAAGCTGTGTGCAGAACTTCTTTATCCTCTGAGGATGAAGTTGCTCTGTCCCTGCATTTGAGATAGATTTCAATTGTATATTGACTTTTTTAATATAATAAAATACAAACTTTGTCCATGCATAATTTATCAGTTTCTCTTAAGAATTTCCTCCACACAGATCTATAGGAAACTCTAAACTGGTGTGTGTGTGTGTGTGTGTGTGTGTGTGTGTGTGTGTGTGTGTGTGTGTGTGTGTGTGTGTGTGTGTGTGTGTGTGTGTGTGTGTGTGTGTGTGTGTGTGTGTGTGTGTGTGTGTGTGTGTGTGTGTGTGTGTGTGTGTGTGTGTGTGTGTGTGTGTGTGTGTGTGTGGTGTGTGTGTGTGTGTGTGTGTGTGTGTGTGTGTGTGTGTGGTGTGTGTGTTGTG